TGTGAGACAGTTCATGTCAGGGTATATATGAAACTTCAAAATTTAACTAACAAAATGAGCAACAAATATTAATCAAGGTGAGACCAATGTATATATAGGAACAATAAAACCTAGTATTTGAATTTTATTTACAATTTTTCATTGGTTAACTGAAAAATTAAGAACTATTGACAATAACGTAAGAATTTCAAAAGGACTACCATCTGGCCTGGCACCAACCTCTCAGAGCAAAGTGTAATAACAGACCCCACGTACCTAGAAGCATACAACAAATTATCACAGGATGAATAAATGTTTTGCTTGGTGCAATAATAGTTATTAAGCAAAAGGACTACGAGAGCTTACTCACTAGGAATGATAATTATAGCTAACACTGTAGGTTGCCAAGAAGTTGTCACTTGTTGTTTGGGATTAGATGACAGTGCGATAGGATTCTGAACTTCTACTTCGCTAAAAATCACCTGGTAGTTCTTGGTAAAGCATAGTAAATGACAAAATTATAAAGCAGAACTAAAAGGCATACCTCCCATCAGAATACTCAAATGTGTAAGGAAAGGTGGGAATGGTTGAAATGACGTGTGCTCCATACTCCTATATTAATTGAGGGGTGATAAGAATAAGCAAATATTTTTGTTTTTCTTTTTTCATAGAGCTCTTCTGTAAATACTCAGAACATCACAATCAATACAACAAACACTGTAAAACCCAAATAATTCAAAGTTTAAAGCATAATCAGTTACCCTCTTTAGCATCTGCAAACTCAGGAAGAAATCTACCGTCTTCTTGAACTTTCTTCTGCAACCCAAATTAAAAATGCTACCCAAAAAACAGTGCATAGATCAACCAAAGAATAACCCAAAAGCCAAATTCATGGTAAATATAAAATCAACCATACCTAGGCTAAGACTTGTGGGAATGGACACCACGAACTAGGCCATCATGCTCGTCAAACCTATCAATCAGAGTCCCCATATGATAGTCCCATAACTGGATCACAAGATTGTGAAGACTCACAAGGATCCATGGTCTCTTACTGTGGAAACTCGGTCCCTTCATTCTATTACTCTTTGTCTCAAACTTGGTCAACATTTTTCTCCAAACAAATCACCCAAATCTAATTTGAACACATAAACAAACAAATTCAATCAAAACACCCAACAAGAATGTTCACTAACTATTTATCACATATCCTACACACCAATTGATACACCTCAAAATTAATAATTCCAAGCTCTCTAGTGCTCAGAACATGGAAAGTCCCTTTCATTCTCTCCTCTGCAAGGGAGAATTCTTCAAGAGTTAAAGGGTGGAGAGTAGACTTACCAAAGATAAGGAAGTTGCAGTACTAAACCAACAAGGTGTACAACAACAACTTCAAAGGTGGAAATGAGATACCTTGCGTAATCTCTACAACATGCCTCCACAGGTGACTCTACCTCAAATTCAATTCAATCAACACTTTGTGGTAGTGTCGCTCTGCCTTAGACAACTCCAGTTTCCTACAGCTCCTCTCCTCAGCAAGCAACCCTAGTATCGCTTGATTGTAAGACAAATCTACTAGAGAAAAAACAATGAGATTAGTACTCAAGTAAATGCCATGAACTCTAAGGCTACTCATCCCTTGCCTGCCAGAAGAATAGAATCTCCTCGGCTCCACTCTCCCCAAAAATTAACTCCTCCCTCATAAAAAAATATGCATCCTTCCACTTCTTGTTGTATGTCTTGAGCCCCGTCACCAAGTGTTTCTTGTCATGCCGTAGCATAAAAAGGTATTACCCCTTTCCTTGTCATGCTTCTTCAAGTAATAAAAATAGAGCAGGTCCATTAGCCCCAAATTATATGTCGAGCCACATACACACTCTAACAACATGAGCAACCTCCATACATTTGCCATCAATTGGCTAGAAGCAATGAGGTAATGATTTAGTACCTCTCATACCAACCTTGAAATAGGAAATCGTACACCCTCTATCATCATCTGCTCATATTATAGATCCATCCTGGCATGGACTAGTCCACCTTCTCATATCTGGTTGGGGTTTTGACCTCTATGGACTTAGGTATCTTGTAAAGATACCTGAGCTTCAACACCTCCTCTTGAACAAATCTAGATGGCGGGTTATTGACAAGCATACCAGCTTCAAGATGGCTCGGCTCATCCCCATGGCCACTACTAGTGGATGGCATCTCATTCCTACTAGCACGCCCTGCCTCAAGTTCACTCTCAATTTCGAAGTTGTCATCTAAACCCCTATTGCTTGAGCCATCATCGCTTAGCTCGGCTCGGTACTTGGATCCCTTGGCATGCACCCATGTGAAAGGCTACACTCACTCCCCAAGTTAGAGTCAACTCATCACATTCGGGAAGCAGTACACTTGTTAGAGCATCATCGTAGTTATTTCCCCTAACCATGGTCACTTTGCTCGACTCTATATTAACCCAAAACAACAACCTTCAAATCTCACATAGCTCAACAATATCAAGTTCACCAAAATCCACAGCCTCAGTAAAGGATTACCAGACCTTATAATTCATTTGCTCAGCCAAGTCTCGACCAGAGCCACATTCATCATTCAGCATCAACTAATAGCCTCTTCACCAAAAGGATCACATGTTTTGGCTCGGCCAAATAACCTCTCCTATAGACTGTCCTTTCTTTTTTAAGAGAAAAAAAACCACAAAAACCCACAAAACAGCCAAAAAGCCAGCAAACCACCTAAAGAGTGCCCAAAAACCGCTTGCCACAAAATTTTCACTTTTTTCCATCAAACATCACCAATACTTCACCAAAATGTGCGAAATCTTGTTCAAAACACTTGAAAAACCATAGTATGGCAAAAAAATAATGAAAAATGACAAGAAAATGAAAAGAAATAGATTTTTACCACGAATTGTGCTAAAGAAAAGCTCCACTATTGCCGTTCTCCAACTTCTCTCTTTGAAGAAACAATTTTGGGGAAAAAATGAGCTACAAAAGGCAATCTCCCCTTCTTAAATACACATCTTGTCATGGACGACACATGGCATCCATTCATGGTTTTGGAAAGTCGTGACTTTTCACTTTCCCACTCATTAGGAATTGGAAAAATGAACTCACGATGTGTCGACCATTTGCACAACATTGGAAAACATGATTTTCCCACTCATAAGAGATGTTAGCTCTACCCTATACGTGGCACTCTTTCGTTGCATTACCAATCACATCATGGGTTATATCATGTAGTTCTCCAAACGTACGATTTAAGACATGCTAGATACTTACTCCTTCCCCATCTGGCTCAGCCCCTTCTTAGTCTGTTTCACTCCTTCAAGATGACAGTTGCCCCTAATAGACGTGAACTATGATTCGGCTTGGCCTTGTTGGAGTCATTTAGTCATGTGAGGAATCTCCGTTAAGTTGTACGAGTGTGTCATGAATCTCCCAATGACTGTCTCATGTCCTGTGAACACACTCAAATGCAATTCATATCACTTACGTTTAGTAAACACCCTTGGCTCGGCAAATGGAGCATAACTGAATGGCTTCACCATCATCCTTCTTGATCATCATTGTTTGACAATGCCTCATACACCTCTCAACAGTGTCTTGCATTTATGCCTAAAAAATTCTCTTGCACCGCTCGAGTCAGTCCAACGAAAGGCCACGTGATTGATGTTTTAAGTCATCACCCACTCGGCTAACACCTCCCATCTAACGAAAGGCACCAAGCTAAATGGCCTCACCATCGTTTCGCTCCATCTAATATATCATGCGATCTCAACTTATTTCCTTCGATTCTTCCCACTCAGTTTGGTCTAGAACTAATGAATCGAACTTCATGGTTAAGCCACCCAAGGATCCAAATGACCCCGCGCAATCATTCCTCTCGGCTTCGCCTTACAAACTAAGTTGAACGGTCTTACAATTATGATTAATTAAATCTACTCTCTACGCTAACTACCCTTTGACTTAGAGAGTGTAAGACAAACTGTATGGACCAAAAATTATGTTAGGCCTGACGAGACCCAATAAACGAGATAAATAGATTGTACTCAAGGCCTTAGCCCAATTTCGGTTGGGCCTAGCTTAAATCCACCTTATGAACTATCACTCTATGAGTTGAGTTATCCTACAAGATAAGTTAAACTAGGTTCCAGCCTATTAGCCCATAACAGTCTATTAATAGGAACAAGAATCCTATTCACCTTCCAATTTCATCAAGATCTTGAATCTTACTAGAATTGGAAGATCTTAATCTAATAAAGGCAAGTCTCAAGACTTCCTTCCTAATTGGAACTCCTCTACCAAATAGGACTCAAAGTCCTATTTCACTATATAAACATGGGCAAACCCTCTTATTAGACATTTAGAAATACCCATTACTCTGGCTATTAAATTATTGCTCTCAAGAATCATCACCCCTCTTGTTGTAAAGCTTAGTTCCAACTAACTTTACTACTTTTAGCCTCCACATTATTCTAGTAACCTTTCTCACTCTCAGCCCTCACTAAATACCTTCAGCCTCGTTGACTTGAACGTCAAAGTATCTAAAGGTGGGCAAAAAGCCTGATCCTATAAGGACTTACCTAGGCCATCGGGAGGGTGACCGGCTCTAGGTTGGTCCCTCCTCTAAGGCTCAGGTCCCAAGCCTGAGCCTAATTGATTTAAAAAAACTCCCTAACAAATAACAAAAACCCATGTATAATATATGAAATACATAATAAAGGGGTTAAATGTAATTTTTAAACAATAAAAAAAGACGGTTGAGCAATGGTCAATTCGGTCAAAATGACCTTTTCTAGGGGGAAAGTGAAATAATACTTTGTTTTTTTGCACTTTCCCCCATGCCTAACCTATAAAAAATTCCTCATTTCCACCCATTTTCCTCACAATTCTCAACTCTCATTCTCTTTACTTCAATTCTCAAACTCTCTTCAATTTCATCTATTATTCAATTTATTATTTACATTTATTCATTATTCAATTTCATCCATTTTAGTTATTTATTATTTTATCATAATGGATTCCTCAAATTATGGATTCGGAGGATCATCATCACCATACGATTCGGAGGAGCATGGTTCAAGCGGAACTAGTAAGCAAATACAAACTTAGCTTAATTTTAATCCATAGTCCTCAATTCTCTCAACATAGCAAGACAATTTACCCACTGTATGGGAGGAAATAGTAAAATACACAGTTGTTAAGAACTCTCCCATTTCTTTATCTAAAAATGTATTTTTTGTTGATATGATTAGAAAGGTTTTTTGTCTACAATATAGGTTTGTTAGTAGAGGTATAACTAGAGGGTAAATAATAAAACTTTAAAATAAAATAAGTAATAAACGTAAAAAAAGAATTTGAAAATTTTCAAAATATATCCATTGCACTTACTTCCAACATATGGGCTACTAGATTAAAAACAATTTTTTTGAGTATCACAATAAATTACCTAGATCATAATTAGAGTTTACAACAAAAAATGATAGCCTTTAAACTATTATAAACTATAGATGGTAAAATCTATGGTTAATTTAGAAAAGGCAAATCTTGTGAGAATTGAGCCACTGACAACCTGATCGACCTACATGTGAACGCTAGATAAACATTGGTGTGGTATCTGTTATAGACATTGTATGGGGATAATTTAAAACCCCTTGAAGTTTGCCCTTACATAATAAACCCCTTGGAGTATCAAAAATAGCCCTAAACCCCCTGCCAATCACTAAAACATTATTAATTTGTTTTATATGAACTTCTCATATTAATTTGTGTGACATGCATTGACATTGGTTAGTTTTACCTTACGTGAAAGATTGTCTATTAATTCGTTACTAAAACACATAAATGAGGTGTTACCCATTAATTTATTCCCAATTAAATCAAACTTTCTAATATTTTCTATTGCTTTCTTTAATTTTCTTTTGTATCATAGTATGTCTTTTAGATTAAAATTATCTGCTATATTATATATATGTATACAAGCTTTTTTCTGTTATCCATTTCACCTTTAAAGACGCAATTTGTCCGAATTGGATTCCCGTATATGAATTAACAATTTCTCTATATTGTATAAATCTTCTTTTAAAAGGGATTTTATAAATCTTCTTTTAAAAGGGTTTTATTTGAACCTCGATTTGCATAATGTTTTTAATTTTCTTAAGTTTGTTAAATTAATTTCAAACTTAGTGCGAAAGGAAAATTACGAGTCTGTTCGTTTAAATATTTTTAACAATTCTATTCATACTATTTCCAAAATACCAATTTGTTTTCCTATTCTAAAAATACTATTATATTTTCTTCAACTGCATTTTAAACTGNTTTTTTTTTTGAAGAATTCATTGTTTTACTAGAAAATATGATATATATTTTTATAATATTTGATAAAGAGAAAGAATTATGTTACATACAATATTCTTTAAATATTAATATATCTTTGGTGTCGTCTCTCGCAATAATTTGTGAGTTAGGTATTTTAGGAGCTGGGGCCCGAGCCGAATTCAATCATCGAGAACTGGCACTGGATAATTATTCTACTAAGATTTGCAATCGTAGTTTCTGGGTTGGTTTTAGCCTGCAACTACCAGTAGGTAAATTTCTTTCATCAATTCAATTAGTTATTCTAAATCTTTGTTAATTTTAAAGTACTCTCTTATATGATAAAAAGTCATTTTTTTCTATTTAATTGCAATAAAAACTCAATTACTGTATCAACTTTTTATAGTATAAAAATGATCTGATGTTCATACTTGTAGTGTTGTAAACATATAATATATTTTTTTATAATTTCTTTTAAATTTTGAAATATTTTGTTAAGTTTAATTTATTTATTTATCTTTTCTTAGGCATTTGAATAGGAGAAGCAAATAATTCTTCAAGATATCTTCGTATTAATGTCTCTTGTCTAAGTGTCACTTTCATATTTTGCTTACCAAAGTATAACTTTCGAATCCAAGTTTCATTAAGAAACCTATAGAATTAAATATTAAAAATGTTGAGTCTTTACCTATTAGTTTACGCTTTTATGTGGAATAATTACTTAATATGTACCAACATTTTATGTTTTTCAGATATTTATAATGAAGATGAATCGATTACAAAAATATTTCTGATAGGTTTTAAGTGCTCCATTTCATAAGGCTCTTCCAAGTTCCAACTCAACATATACCAATATTATATGTTTTTCAGGTGTTCATAAAGGAGATGAATCCGAGGGCATAAATAATTCCTATAGCTTAGAAAATCATCATTTCAGAGGGCCTTTCCATCTCTTGCTCATTTTAGGTATATATGCTTTGCCCTTTTACACATTTTCAGAAAAAATAGCTTTGATTATAATTAGTATTGGTCTAATATATGTTGAGTCATCACCTATTAGATTTAAGCTTTCAGGTGGGATGACAACTTAATGTAGTATTAGAGTCAAATGTCTTAAGTTCGGATCCCCACATACAAACTAGATAAAGAACAAAGGAAAAAAAAAAAAAACAAATTTCATGTGAGGGGACTTATTGGTCTAATATATGTTGAGCTCTCACTTATTAGCTTACGTTTTTAGATGGGATGCAACTTAAAATTAGAATAATCTTTATTAACATTACAAATTGTAAATGTAATTTTCTAGCTGTTACATGCCTTGGAAATGTGATTCTGCTTGTTGCATGGAGGTGGCTCGGCAAAATAACAAAGAAGAGAAAGGGCATTAAGATGAACGAGAGGTTCTTTGAACGAAATGGGGGCTTGCTTTTACAACAGTTGTTAAATTCTTTTGGTGCCAATGTTGCTAGATCATTCAAACTCTTCAAGTTAACGGAGTTAAATAAGGCGACTGACCATTTTAATGTGAAAAGAGTACTCGGTCGAGGAGGTCAAGGTATTGTTTATAAAGGAATGCTAGAAGATGGAAGAATTATTGCGATAAAGAAGTCCAATGTGGTTGATGAAGGGAAAATTGAAGAGTTCATTAACGAGATTGTTATTTTGGCCCAAATTAACCATAGAAATGTGGTTAAGCTATTAGGGTGTTGTTTGGAAGCTGAGGTTCCTTTATTGGTTTATGAATTCATCTCCAATGGAACCCTTTTTCAGTATCTTCATGATCAAAATGAAGAGTTTCCGCTCAAATGGGAGACACGTCTACGAATTGCTACAGAAGTTTCAAGTGCGCTTTCTTATATGCACTCAGGTGCTTCCTTTTCCATATTCCATCGTGACATCAAGTCGACAAATATACTCTTAGATAATAATTATACAGCAAAAGTAGCTGACTTTGGGGCATCAAGATCAATTTCCATAGATAAAACTCATCTGAGCACAATAATATTGGGGACTTTGGGGTACTTGGACCCAGAATACTTCCAATCAAGTCGATTGACCGAAAAAAGTGATGTCTACAGCTTTGGAGTAGTCCTTGTAGAGCTTTTAACAGGACAAAAACCAATATTTTTAGGATCATCACAGGAAAACATAAGTTTGGCAGCTTATTTCATCCGTTGTATGAAGGAGAAACGTTTGTATGATATTCTTGATGCTCAAGTGAAGCAGGATGGGAAAAAGGATGAGATTATGGTATTTGCGAACCTTGCTAAAAGTTGCTTAAACCAAATTGGGAAGGAACGACCTACAATGAAAGAAATCGTAATAGAGTTGGAGGGAATTCCATTATCAAAAAAGAAGAAAGTGTCATTCAGAGAAGTTATAAAGAGGTTCAGAAAGGGAGATTGAAGCAATTCATGAAATTTGGGTTTCTAATTTAATCGGTTCGTCTTTCAACAATGGATCTCCTGCCGTGTCTATCCAGTTATTGTTAATTACAATATGTTATAATAAAGATGTGTGTAGGTTATCAAAAGCCTCTTGTTGTAGCATTCAAAATATTCTTTCATGCATGGCCTAAGATCTTTCTTGCTCATTCAATAATGTTAATAGTTCGTTTTCGTAAAACACCTCAAAATAGAACAAGAGAAAAACTCTTAGCTCCGCCTTGCTAGAATTTGTTGTGTGTTTAAAGAAGATGTTAATTTGGGGGAAATGAATTGAAGAGAGAAAGATGAGAGGAGAGGAAAATTCGTGAAGATGAATTTTGGAAAATGAATATTGAATTCAACTTAACTCTCTCTGCTCAGTTACAAGGTTTTATATACATTCTGTTATAAACTAACTACTAACTAACTTTAGTAAAACAACTAACTAACTTCCGGTGCACTAACTGAATATAACAAACTTTGCCACCTCATATTGCTAGCTTGATTCTCAACACTCCCCCTCAAGCTGGCACCTTATGTATGTTCTTCAGATAGAGCCCAGACATGAATTTTTCATGTTGCAATCTGCCTAAACCTTTGGTCAAGATGTTTGCCAATTGTTCTCCAATAGGTATGAATTTCATGGTTATCATTCCACTCTGAATCTTCTCCCTTATGAAATGGCAATCAATGTCTATATGTTTCGTTCTCTCATGAAACCTAGGATTTGCTGCAATCTGTAAGGCAGCCTTATTATCATAGTGTGGCGAAGCTGGAGTTATAGCTTTCACATTAAGTTCTTCGAGCAACCCAATTAACCAAGTCAACTCTGCCACTGTTGTAGCCATACTCCTGTATTCAGCTTCTGCAGAAGACCTGGCTATTGTGTTTTGCTTCTTGGTCTTCCAAGAGAGAAGAGAGTCTCCCAGCTTAACACAATACCCTGAGACTGATTTCCTGCTAATAGCATAGGAGGCCCAATCTGAGTCACAAAATGCCACCAACTCCATTGAACTTTTTGAGGACATAAACAACCCAAGAGCTAGCTCCTTTTTACATATCTGATCACTCTTAAAGTTGCCTCCAAATGTGACTCCTTAGGAGATTGCATATGCTGGCTTAGTGTTTGAACAGCAAATGCAATATCTGGCCTAGTCATAGTTAAATATAGCAACCTGCCAATCATTCTTCTGAAAAGACTAGGGTCTTCTAATAATGCATCTTTAACTTCTAGATTAAATTTCTGATCAAACTCATATGAGGTGAGTTTTAAATTCTTCTCAAGAGGAGTATCTGCAGGCTTTGCACCAGACAACCCAGCCTCTGAAATGAGTTCAATAGCATACTTTCTCTGGTTTAATGCAATGCCTTCAGAAGATCTGGCCACTTCTATGCCAAGAAAATATCTGAGGTGACCAAGATCTTTTATTTTGAAATTGTTTTGAAGAATTCCCTTTAACTTATCTATCATTTCCAAGCTACTGCCAGTGATCAAAATGTCATCTACATAGACAAGCAAGATGACAACATAGACAAGCAAGATGACAATGTTGTTGCCTTCTTGTTTGGTGAATAAGGAGTAATCATGTTTGCTATGTGAATAACCACTTTTGATCAAGGCATCAGTGAGTTTGAGGTTCCATTATCTACTGGCCTACTTTAATCCATATAAGGATGTGAGCAATCGACAGACCATGTGATTCTCCCCCCTGATTGCCAAATCCTGGAGGCATAGACATGTAGACCTCCTCATATAAATCTCCCTGTAAAAAGGCATTAAACACATCCATTTGAAAGAGAAGCCAATCATGAATGGAAGCCAAAGCTAAAATTGATCTTACAGTGACCATTTTGGCAATTGGGGAAAAGGTTTTTGCGTAATCAATGCCAGCTTGCTGGTTATAACCTTTAGCCACAAGCCTGGCTTTATACCTCTCTAGACTGCCATATGAGTTATACTTGACTTTGTAGACCCATTTGCAGTCTATAGGTTGTTTGCCAGGTGGAAGGGACACTAGAGTCCAAGTTTGGTTGGCCTCCAAAGCTTATATTTCTGTTTTCATGGCAGCAACCCAATTGGGGTCTTAAGAAGCTTCATGAAAGGATGTTGGTTCTTGAATTTGAGAAATTGAAGACAAGAAGCATTGATAGGGAGGTGAAAGATGGGAATAGCAAACATACTTGGAGATGGAATAATGTGCAGAATGAGTGATATAATCTTGAAGCCAAATAGGAGGCTTATGATGTCTTTGAGATCTTCTAACATCAACAGAAACAGGAACTGAAAGAGGAGCAGGTGAGGTTGAAAGAGAAGTATGAATATTAGAAGAAGGTGGAGGTAAAATGTCTGGTGATGTAGGAGTTGATTGAAAGGACTGAGGCAAAATATCAAGGGAAGTAGTGATGAACGGATCAGCTGGAAAAACAGGAACATGTGAAGCATTCTTGTGGTGAAAAGGAAAGAAATCCTCAATGAACTGAACATCTCGATTGACAAAGAAGCTAAAGGTTTCCAAATTGAGTAATTTGTAGAACAGAAGAGTACCCTATGAAAACTGTAGGCACAGCTTTGAATCCAAATTTATCTCTAGTAGCCACATTAGAAGCATAGGCAAGACAGCCAAAAACTCTGAGATGTCCAATAGGTGGAGGGGAACCATACAAGATCTCATAAGGTGATCTGCCATGAAGAACAGCAGTAGGAAATCTGTTGATCAGATAGCAGGCAGTAGGTATGCAATCCCCCCAGTATTGAATGGGAATGGAGGCCTGAAATCTCAAAGCTCTGGCTATTGTGAGAAGATGCCTATGCTTCCTTTCCACTACTCCATTTTGTTGTGGAGTGTGGACACAGGTTCTTTGATGTACAATGCCAAGAGAGGTGAATAAAGCTGCACACTAGGAGTTGAGAAACTCAAGGCCATTATCAGTTCGAATGTGTTTAATACAAGCTGAGAACTGATTTCTGATGAGAGTAATAAAATTCTTAATACGTATAATGACCTCATGTTTGTGTTTCATTAGATAAACCCAAGTGATTCGAGAATGATCATCAACTATGGTAAGGAAGAATTTATGCTGATCATGTGTGGGGGTGTGATAAGGGCCCCAAACATCCATATGTAATAGATGAAAACAAGCAGATGATCTGCTAGTACTGAGAGGAAAGGGGTGTCTAACATGTTTTGCAAGTGGACAAATATCACAGTGCATATTGTCACCAGAAACAACAGACTTTATTCCAGGAAAATATTTTAGTTTGACATGAGGTACATGTCCAAGGCACTTATGCCAAAGATTTACAGAAACTGAACAAGAAGTACCCAATGATTTATGCAAAACAGAATGATGAGCTGTTGGAACATGACAAGGCATGAAGAAGTAATGTCCTTTAGCTTCTCTACCAATCCCCAGCACTTTGCCATTGGAGAGGTCTTGAAATATGCAAAAATCAAGATAAAAGGAAACAAAACACTTTAAGTCTCTGGTAAGCTTTGCTATAGAGATCAAGTTGAATTTGAAATCAGGCACAAATAAGACATTAGTTAGCCTTTGATTAGGACCAATCACATAAGAGCTGATATGAGAAACTGTTGAGTGATGTCCATTAGGAAGCCTGGCTAAAGAAGGAGAAGTAGACACCATCAAATCTGTTAGCTTGTCCAAAGATGTTGTCATATAGTGACTAGCACCTGTATCAAGGATCCAGTAATTTCCATGATGTAGTGATGAAAAGTAAGAGTGGATACCTGCCATGTTGACATTGGCATCAGTTGATGGTGTCATGGAAGGTGCCTTTTGAAGCAACTTCAGTATCTCAGCATACTGCTCTTTGGAGAAGACTAGAGCAGTTTGATTTTCAATGGAAGAGGAAATAGTATCTGGCTATGTAACAGGAGTGACATTGCTGGCAGAAGATTGATTAAATTTTTTCTTCTTTGTAAATTTAAAATCAGCAGGATAACCAATTAGTCTGTAGCAATTGTCTTTCTTATGACCTCTCACATTGCAATGTTCACAAATTATGTTCCAATTTTTCTTTGATTTTGATGATTGTTGACTGGAATTCGAAGATGAGTATAGGACAGTTGGCTCAAGAGAAGATGATTCAGTTGGGGTAGCAATTGTAAGGCTCCTTTGGCTTTCTTCAGTAACAAGCATGGAATAAGCTTGATTCACAGATGGCAGAGGATTCATCATCAGTATTTGACTTCTAGCATGTAAATAGGTTTCAGTCAATCCCATTAAAAACTGAAGGAGTTTCTAATTCTGCATGTGATCAACATATGTTTTTGACATAGAACATTCACATGTTGGAAATTGAACTATGGATGAAAACTCATCCCATAGCAATTTCAGTTTGGAGAAATATGTGGAAATCAAATAAGTCCCTTGCACCAGAGTGACTATCTCCCTATGTAATTGAAAAATTCTGGAGCCTTTACTTTATCAAATCTTTCTTGTAAATCCTTCCATACTAGATGTGCACTTGAAGCATAGACAATTCCATTTAAGAGTTCTTTTGTTACTGAATTCATGAGCCATGAGAGGACTATGGCATTACACCTATCCCATTGATTACGCAAGCTAGCAGACTGTGTTCTCTGTGCAAGTGCCATCAATAAATCAAATCTTATTCTTTGCTAACAAAGCAATTTTCATGGACCTACTCCATGAAGAATAATTGTCAATTCCACTCAATTGAAAAGAAACGAGTATTGCACCTGGAGTATCCGAAGGATACAGGTAGAGAGGATGGTTAAAATCAATAGCTAAAGGTTGCTGAGTGGTTGTGTGTGTTGAAGAAGATGTGTTATTGCCATCAGCTGCCATCTTCAATTAAGCTTGGTGCAAAATTTTGATTCTTCAATTGAATTTAAGAATGAGTAGAAAGCTGCCTCTGATTTTATTAAAAGAAAAGAGCTAAGGAATAATCTCAGAAATGATCGAAGAAGAAGTGTCGAAGGAATTGAGCACTGATTGATTCGAATTTTCTAGCGATTTTCTCAGAGAACTTCTAACCCTAATTATGCTCTGATACCATGTTAATTTGGGGAAAATGAATTGAAGAGAGAAAGATGAGAGGAGAGGAAAATTCGTGAAGATGAATTTTGGAAAATGAATATTGAATTCAACTTAACTTTCTTTGCTCAGTTACAAGGCTTTATATACATTCTGTTATAAACTAACTACTAACTAACTTTTATAAAACAACTAACTAACTTCCAGTGCACTAACTGAATATAACAAACTTTGTCACCTCATATTGCCAACTTGATTCTCAACAGAAGAAAGCTAATATTTTAGAGATGCAGTCCAAGTTCATGTATAATGTATGTATTGATGATACACCTAAAAATTGCTAGAATTTGTTGTGTGTTTAAAGAAGAAAACATGTGCTCGCTTGGGAATTTCGTCAAATATATTGTAGACAAACCTCACTAACACCTTCGAGATCTTTCTTGAATAGATTTAACTGGAGACAAAGTGATACATATGCAATAAAGATAAAACCAAGCAAGCAAAATTTCATAAGCGATTTATGTAGTTCACAAAAAAAATTGCCAGTACTCTACAGACTACAAGAGGCACAGTGTCACTAGATAAACAGACTACAGGCCGGAACGACGCACAACCAGCGGGATCTAGCCGTTTACGGTCATGGATTTAGCCGAAAACGTCTAGATTGACGTACAGTAGACCATATCTTGTCGGTCGTGCACCATTTTGCCAATTGCCAGTGGTGGTGGTGGCCTGCAGCCAATAGTCGTCTTGGGTGATTGGGGTGTTTTGGGTGGTATTCATGTAAATAGTTTTCAGATTAAGGGCATTACTGTCCAAAAATTTAATTACTTAGGGGTAAAATGGTGACAAACTAAGATTAATTTATGTAAAATGAAGGGCATTTATATCCAAAATATAGAAGTTATTTCGCATAGTTGGACTAATTGTTATTTGATAGACATATGAAAGTATTTGTGTCCAAAATGTTTATTAATTTAGGGTAAAACGGGAACAAAGTTTGGATTACCCCGGTAATCAAAGAATAACTCCATCTAAATCAATAATTAGATAACCTCTTATATTATTTAAAGTAATTATTATTGGTATTTAAAGATTACCAGAATTTTTTATTATTTGACAATCAAACATGATAATGACCGGATTAAAAGATAGATTACCAGAGTAATATTTTATTACCTCTAACCAACCACCCTAAAAGTTAAATAAGATGTGCAGTTATAAATATTAAGATTGATGAAGGACAAAAGTGGAAGAAATTTAATTAGGATTTATATGAACTTGTATTCGTTTCTTTATTAAAGTAGTAGTTTTCTTTTATTCCTTTATTATTTGTACTGAATTGAGAATAAATTGAGTTGTAATTCCGTAAGTTTAAGAGGATTTATTATGGATAAAGTTGAAGATTTATTAACTTAATAACATAAAGTTATAGTAGTAGATAAAACGATAAATACATCACAACCCAACACTACTTGTAGATTTTGGAGGAGATTTGGCATCTTGGATTTTGATATATAAAGTATAAGTTAACTCATTGGAAACTGATATTTACTAGCCTAAACCACATTTAAGACATTCTTTTATTCTTTATATCCAATCTGGGAACAATTTTAAAATCTAGAATACATATTTAAGTTTCGAACATAATCTAATTATGAATTTTTATTATAAAATATTTATCATTTTTTATAAGTTTAAATTATAAACTTTTTGTTATTATAAAAAGTGTCAGTTATTTATAATTTTTAACTTTTTGTTATTATAAAAAAGTGTCAGTCATTTATAGTTTTTAATTGCTCCTTGTTTTACCCAAAAATAAATAAATAAATAAATTGTACCCATACTGCAAATCAAACAATTTCTGAATTTTTTTCTTGAGAGCAATACATTTTTTTTTTTTTTTTTTTTTTTGTGATAACGAGAGTTTTCGAGTCAGTTTATATGCATCTTAACTAATCTCTCGAGTCTTAAAATTGACAGTCAGGTAAATCCTCTCAGTCGTCACCTATATTAGTAACCTAGGTAGATCAAATTCAGAACCTCTTGAATAATAAATCTAACAGTTCTAAATTTTAGTTGACCGTTGGATCACCTAATGGTGGTCAATATATGTTGTTTGTGTGTGTGTGAAATTAGGAGTTAAGACAAGTGCTAAATACGTCCATTTACATTCAAGTAACATCACCTTGAGTTCACTTGGACATGGGTCATGTATCAATTTAAATTAGAGCAATGTCTTCGGTGGGCCACTTCTTTCAAGCCCAACATGGCCCCAAACTCGGCTTTTTCTCGTAGTAAAAAAACAGTGTGGAAGTTTGTAGGGTATCTAATAGAATTCAGAGGTTAGTTGAAGTGCGCATAAATTATCCCAAACACCCGGTTAACAAAGAAAAAAAAAAAAATAGTGCGGATAGTAAACCTCCTATTTCAATTTAATTTGGTTATATATATTCTTTCTCGTAATCTCAACATTAATTCATTGACATTCCTTTAATGATAAAAACCGATTTAAAACATTTTGCAGTCTGGTTGACAATCATAAGTAATTTCATTTATCCATTCTACCTCATTCTCGCTTGTTTCCAGTGAGCTGCAGATCTACTTTTGGGTGGCTGCTGATGTGTTTGTTTGTGCAGCAGCTTGTTTTGCTGCATTTTCCAGTGAGCTACAGGCCTGCTCCTCTTATGGGGCTGTTGTTTTTTTTTTTTTCAGCAGGCTGCAGATCTGCTCCTCAGGTGGGTCTTTTTTGTGCCTCTTGTTTAGCCATCTTGCTGCTGGTTTCTTTGCTGCTTTGGGGCGCTTTGTGACTTCCTTAGGATTGTTTTTCCTGGCTCGGTGGTATCTTGTTCAAAGGATTGTTTATCCTTGTTCCTTTGGGTCCTTTTTTTGGTTGCTCTCTGTTAGGGCCAAAAATCGTCCTCGGCCCAAATAGGGAAACAGGATCACTGATAAAGAATGACCAGGCCCAATCTTGCAGAGGTCCAATTCGGATTAGCCCTATTTGATACGAAGTATAGCCGGCCCGGACTACATGGGCGCGAGCCTCTTAAGCCCTGTCCAATTTCTAGGCCTATGGGTGGGTCCAGAGCCCATAGCCCCTTCAACATTTTCCCATTCTTGATCAATCCCCTATTCAAGGTCGTCTTCCTCTTTCCTGAAGACTTTCCCACTTGAGGGTCATTCTCCTAAATGGAATTAACTTCCTATCTAGACACTAATAAAGACAGCTGATTACGGCCCTGATTCTTCTAGGATTGGCATCAGGGTCACACTAGGACTCCTGCTCCCACCAGGATTGGAAGACTAGACGACCACTATATAAGCAGAGGCCAGCCCTCTCACAAGGGACATCGACATTACCCCTTCACACCCGAGACTCTTTACTTGAGAGTTCACTTAATCGCCGTAGTCACAGTCCCCGACTAGACTTCCGGTAATCTCTCACTCCCTAGCCCTCACTATATTAGCCTTTCAGCCTTGCTGACTTGAGCGTCGGAGTGCCTATGGCAAACACCACCCTGGTGTTTCCCGTTCGCTTCACGCGTGTTTCTCTACGTGTGCAGGTACAGCAGATCGCTAGTGGCCTCAACCTCGCGGGATCAGACCCCCCTTTCCGTACAAGTAGATTTTTACGTCTACAGTTTAGCGCCCACCATGGGGCCTCTAGCAATCATTCGGCGTGACGAACCTTGCTACGTGGAGGAATATTCCATGGCTGACAATCCAGACGACGTTAACTCAGGCCTCGAGGCCAGACTGGAGGCTTTGACTGCTCTCATGCAACAAAACTTGGACAAGGTGGCCGCACTGGAAGCCGAAACACATCCATCAGAGTCGAGAACCAGTCGCTAAAAGACAAAGTAAGTCGATTCTATGAACTCGAGTTTCTGCCCGACCAAGCACCCCCCAATCGGTTCCGCACCATTATCCCATCCATGCAACCCCTCTCCACACCAGAGCATCAACCCTCGGATTCTGGTAAAGGGCCGCGTCAGCTTAACGCACTGGTGCTCGACTACTCCGTTCTGACTAACGGAGATAAAGATACAATAGGGCGCGGTCCAGTCGACCCATCCCAGCCTCATGATCAAAACGATCCAGCAATAAAGAACCCGAAGGATCAACCCATCCCCACCATACCACTTCACCTCTAGTCAACCCAAACACAAACCCCCTCCTGCCTGGCTCACCCTCGCGGGGTGAACGGCCAAACCAAACCAACTCCAGCTCTTGAGCCCGTCCATCCTGAAAGACCGAACGACTACCAGACAACTCCCCTGAACGTTCATGTAGGGAAGAACAACAGAACAGTGACAATGGGAGTCATCCAACCAGAAGGGATGAACGAAGACAATGCTACCAAGGAGCGCACGACGGACTGATCTATCAGTCTACCCCCTGAGGGATGACCCAACGAGACGTACCAGACCCGGTAAGACGGGATGACCCGATAGTATCCCCTTCCCCTGTGGAACAGTTACTGGCCAAGAGACTGGTCGACGTTGAGGCAGTAATAAGGCGTATCCCAGGAATGCCAATCCCAACCAAGAAGAGCAGACCGAATTGTTACGCCGATTCACCCTTTGCGGATGAGATCGCCCTGGCTGACATGCCCCAGAAATTCACTATCCCCAACATGAAACCATATGACGGTACCACTGACCCGGACGACCACATAGCCTCATACAAGCAGCGGATGTTCATTGTTTCCATACCCCGACCGCTTAGAGAAGCCTACATGTGCAAAAGTTTCGGGTCTAGTTTGTCCGGCCCGACGCTCCAATGGTACACGAACCTCCCAAACGGATCCATCGATTCATTCGCTCAGCTTACTGACACCTTTGTGGAACAGTTCGCCAGCAGGAAGAAGCTAGAGAAGTTGTCGGCCAACTTGTACCGAGTATACCAACGAAGGGGGGAACCATTAAGAGAGTATGTTAGCAGATTCAACAAAGAGAAGATCTCTATTCCCTCTTGTAACCCCGAGACTGCTGTGGAAGCCTTCAGAAAAGGCCTCCTCCCAGATGGAGAACTATACAAAGAGCTTACAAAGCTAGGCTGCACCACCATGGAAGACGCTCTGGCCCGAGCCGTTATCCAGATAAGGTGGGAGGAAGATGAGATGAACCGAGCCGCCCATTCCAGATACGAACCAAGGCAGAACGACAGGAAGCTAGAGCCTAGACTGGTAGAACACCGTTACCAACCCCCCGCACGGAATATGGGCAGAGCCAGGAGACCATATGATCGCCAACCCTTGAGAAGCGATAACAGGCATTTCGGATCGAACCAGTTCAAAATACCATAATACAGTCTCAACATCGAACCAACCCAGGTCGTAGCGATAATGAAAGGAATGGGATCCGCTGTCAAGTGGCCTGGTAAGCTCAATCCCGAGGCAAGGAGAGACACAACCAAGTGGTGCGAGTTCCACAACGATCACGGGCACAACACCGCAGACTGCATCGCCTTGCGGCTTGAGGTCGCCGCACTTCTGAAGAGGGGACATCTTCGTGATCTACTCACTGACAAGGGGAAGAACACCATTAGCCAGAAAAGCTCCAAACAACAGTCGCCCCCTCTGCGAGAACCCACACCGAAGGGTTTCTGCTCGCTAATCTCCGGAGGATCAGAAATCAGTGGGGTAAGTTACTCATCAGCGAAGCGGCATGCTAGAACTAACCATCATGAAGTCTAGTCCATCCACCCGGTCTCGAGGTCATACTCCCATCAGGTAATTTAGTTCGAGGATGACGAATCGATCACCCTAGCCACTCCTTACCACGACGCTTTAGTCCTCTCCTTGCAAATAGCCAACATCCTGGTGAAAAGAGTGTTCGTAGATGGGGGTTCGTCAGCAAATATCCTATTCCTCGAAGCGGTCAAAGCAATGGGACTGGAAGAAGCAAATATCAACAGGCGACCGACATTGCTAGTTGGATTCAGCTCGGAGCAGAAATACACTATCGGGGAGATCATCTTTCCTATCTATGCCAGCGGAGTAAACAAACAGACAGTCTTCCTGGTGATTGACTGCCCATCCCCCTACAACGTCATTTTAGGCCGCCCCTGGATCCACGACATGCGGGCAGTCCCATCTACTTTCCACCAGACAATCAGGTTTCCGACCAAGTGAGGAGTAAGGGAATCAAGGGTGACCCTAAAGCTTCCAGGGACTGCTACAAAAACGCCTTCAAAGGCACGGGAAACTCTTCATAGCAATTACAGTCTCGTCCAACCCCTCGAGCAGAGCCCGACCAACCGACCATTGAGGAGTTGGATGAAGTGCAGATACATCCGCTTACCCGAGAGAAAACACACATAGGCTCCCGCCTCGACCCAAGACAAGAGAAGCTGATGTTTTTCTAAAACGAACGAAGACTTTTCTCCTGGTCCCATGCCGACATGACGGGATCAATCCAGACGCAATGGTCCACCAGCTCAAGAGATCCGATCACCCGCCAGTCAAGCAAGAGGAGAATTTCGCACCTGAAGGAACCAGATCACAATGAAGAGATCAAAAAACTCCTAAACAACGGCATGATCAGAGAGGTCATCCACCCCCAATGGCTGGCAAACTCGTAGTCGTAAAGAAAAACGGGAATTGGAGAGTCTGCATCGACTTCACGACTTGAACAAAGCTGCCCCAAGGATTCTTTCCCCCTCCACATATGACATGATGGTAGACGCGACCACAGGGCCGAACTCCTCAGTTTCATGGCCTTCTCGGAATACAATCATTTTCTATGCTGCGCCACCAGGAGAAGACAGCTTTCATCACAGAGAGGGGAACCTATTGTTAAAGTAATGCCGTTTGGATGAAAAACGCCTGACCCACTACCAACGTCTGGTCCAAAAATGTTCTCTGCCACTTAGGAAGACCTGGAAGTGTACATCGACGACATGCTCGTCAAATCCCTATTGCAACAACCCTTGACCACCTTAGCCAGGCATTCGCCGTTCTCCGAAGTACAACATGAAACGAACCTAGAAATGCTCATTCGGCGTCTCATCAGGTAATTCTTAGGCTATATGGTTACTCACGAGGAATAGAAGCAAACCCGACCAATCAGACGGTTCTCAGCATACCATCCCAACTTGCTCAGAGAGTCCACGTCTTGCAGGACGAGTGGCCGCCCTGAGCCGCTTCATCTCCAGTCCTGACAAGTGCCACCTCTTCTTCCACGCCCTCAAAAAATCCAACAGTTCGTTTGACCCCCTCATGCGAAGAAGCCCTACAACAGCTAGAGGTATTGACTACCCCCCCGCTGCTTCCAAACCCATGAACGGGAGAAGCTCTACCTTACCTAGCGGTCTCAAACGCTAATCAGCGTCTAGTCTGAGAAGAAGAAACAACAGTCACCGGTCTACTACATTACAAGTCGCTCCTCACGCGAAACTCGATAAAGCCAACTGGAAGCTTGCCCTTCCCTCATCCATGCATCCAGGAAGCTCAGACCTATTCCAGTGCCATCCATAGTTGTGATCACCTCTTCCGCTCAAGAAAATATTGCACAAACCAGACTGTCAGGCCGACTCATGCAATGGACGTAGAACTCAGCAGATGTATCGTATCCTACCAACCACGCACCGCCGTCAAGTCCCAGCACTGCAGATTTCATTCCCGACTTCACACCAAGCGACACCCCTGGCGAAAAAGAATTACTATGCATGAACGGCGCACCACCTTCAAAGTGGACCTCCTAGTAGACGGATCGAGTAATGTCAAGGAAGCGGACTGGAAGTACTGATCCCCAGGGAGACATCATCCAGCGAGCAGTCCGGTGTGGGTTCAAGTGCAGAATAACGAGGCCGAATACGAAGCCCTCTTAGTGACTTACCTTGCCAAGAATGCGCCAAGAGACTAGAAGTGAAGTCAGACTCCCAACTCGTGGTCAATCATTACAAGGTACGTACCAAGCACGTGACTAAAAATGACATCCTATCTAAGCATGGTCAAAGAGTTGCAGCCGAATTGAAGGTTCTCAATAGTACAGATCCCAGAGCTGAGAACAACCATGCCGACGCCCTCCCAACCTTGGCTCACACACTCCATGTTCCTCAGTCATCCATCCCCCTCCTCATGTAGTGGCCACAACTGGAAAGAACCCACCCAACAAGTCTCTATAGAACCATGGGCATTGAGCAAGCCGATGTGGATGATCCGATAGTAAGTACCTGGAAGACGATAGCTCCCCTGCAAGCGAAGCACGCCGATTGAAAGCAAAAGCCGCCAGATTCACCCTATGGAGGCAACTCCTCAGAAAGTCGTTCTCGGCCCCTACCTCAAATGCATAAGCCAGAAGAGGCCCAAAGTTTTCTACGCAACTCCATGAAGGCGAATGCGGCAACCATGCAGGGGGCGTAGTCTTGCTCACCGGTGATCACCGCGTTACACTGGCTGACTATCCGACCGACGATCGCTTACGCAAAGAGATGCGAAAGCTGTCAGAGGTTGGCTCATTCTCACACCTCCCCCAGAAGACTCCACCCATTCTACACCATGGCCTTCATGATGGGGAATGGACATCGGGAAAGCTACCTCGCACGGGGCAACGAGTCTTCATGTTGGCAGTGACAGACTACTCACCAAGTGGATCGAAGCCGAAGCCTTGCAGTCATAGACCGAGAGCAAAGCTTTCATCTAGGAAACGTGATCTACGGTTCGGAATACCAAAGAGATTGTCACCGAATGGGTCCCAGTTCATTAGTTCGGGCTTCAGGGATTTCGGTGACATGTGGGGAATAAGTTAAGCTTCTCACACCCCGAACCCCATCTAACGCCAGGCCGAGTCGTCAAACAAACAATCATGCAGACACTGAAGAACGATTACAGAAAGCTAAGGGCGCATGGGCGACGAGCTACCCGAGTCCTCTGGTCATACCGAACCACGGCTCATCATCAACTGGAAACACCTTTCCCTGACATAGGTTCAGAAGCAGTCATCCCAGCGAAATATCAGTTCTCCACCAGGCTCCAGTGGCGAACAAGAAATCAAATAGCCAAAACCTTTGCCAAACCTAGACACTGTGGACAGCTACGGGAACAAGCGGCATCCGCAACGCAGTCTACCAGCAACAGCGCCGCCCGCACTATAACCGCAGGTGAGGATCGCACTTTCAGGATAGGCGACGGTCCTTCGTAAGTTTTCCAAAACACCAAGGATTAACTCTGGCAAACTCGCCCACCTGGAAGGCCCCTAAGATAATCAAGAAGCAGGAAGGCGCTTACAACCTCCAGACCCCGGGGCAAAGACACATAACAGTTGGAATGCCGTTCACTCACCGTTACTACTCTAGGTGAACCCCCTTTTTGGGAATTTTTCCATTTCTTTTCATTGTTATAAAGGTAGGGTGGGCCTATCCTCTCAGACAGTCAGCCTCATGGCCAGATTAATGAAGTATATTCAGTATTCTCATCTCGATCGACCAAGTTACGAACACCCAAATGGCCATGCCCGATGTACTACGAACACCTTACAATCGCCCTGCCCATGTACGTGACACCCTTCAATCGGCCCTACCCATAGATATACGAACACCTTCAATCACCCTACCCGATGTACGTACGAACACCTTCAATCGGCCCTGCCCGATAGACATACGAACACCTTCAAATCGCCATGCCGATGACGTACGAACACCTTCAAATCGGCCCTGCCCATGTATGTACGACACACCTTCAAATCGGCCCTGCCCGATAGATACGAACACCTTCAAATCGGCATGCCCGATGTACGTACGAACACCTTCAAATCGGCCTTGCCCGATGTACTACGAACACCTTCAATCGGCCTTGCCCTATAAATACGAACACCTTCAAGTCGGCCATGCCCGACGACGTACGAACACCTTCAAGTCGGCCATGCCCGACGACGTACAACACCTTCAGTCGGCCATGCCCGATGTACGTACAAACACCTTCAATCGGCCCTGCCCGTGCACGTACGAACACCTTCAAATCGGCCATGCCGGATACACGTAGAACACCTTCAAATCGGTCATGCCCGATGTACTACGAACACCTTCAAATCGGCCATGCCCGATGTACGTACGAACACCTTCAAATCGGCCATGCCGATACACGCACAGACCCCTCAAGTCGACCCGACGATGAACTACTCACGCTCGAATCTACCCCACCCACTCGCAGAACACTGTAAGATCGGCCTGCCGATCCAAGACGGCACTTGGGTCCGGCCCCATCCAACCCAGAAACTGAACTAAAGATGCATCGCACTCATCCAGGTGACTTCTACTCGGTCAACCCGACCGAACGAATGATCCTAAACCGTTAAGAGTTGGGTC